GGGGGGGGTAAAGAGCAGTTGTTTCCTTTAGTAGCAGAAGTACTCACTTGTAATGAGGGCACTTGTGTTGTTTTTGGTTGTCTGGACTTCTGCTTCGGTGAGAGTGGAAGCGTTTGCCGGGAGCTCTCTATAATAGAGCCGGTATCCAGTCAAAACTCCATTAACGCTGTCATCGCTGGGACGCTGGAAACATACAGACACACACACAAGCACGTGTTAAAACAAACAAACAACAAAAACAATGCTACTTTCTCAAAAAGAGATTTCTAAGCTTCTGAGAACTTTCTGTGTGTGTGCTTATTTTCATTTCCTTTGTGTAGTACAGCAACAGTCAGGACGCTGACAGGCTGGCAGAGCAGTATTTTATCAGCATGTCCACTTTAAGGGGCTGCTGGATTGGTCTGGCTGTAACTTGCACAAAGAAAGTGATGCTTCAGTAGGTTTGGCACTCTTGTAAAGGATGATGAAATTGCTGGTGACTTTGTTTTTTCATTGCCTCCTTCTGCTTTGACGTAAAGCCACAAGGATGAGAGAAGACATTTCCAAGTAGAAGAGGAAGAAAGACAAGGAGTGAAGTAGCCGGGCTCTATGTACCATCTTCCCCTCTTTTTTTTGCCTGTGTTGTTGAATGTTACTGATAGCTGAGGGATTCTTCTGCCCTATAACATCTCTCCTGCTGGTATATACTCATTAAGAGATAAACATTTCCCCCCATCTCAGGACTGTGTGTCCATCTTAGTGCCTGCTTTGCCCTCCTGCCATTTTTCCAATCTTTCTTTTCTCCTCTCTGACCTCTCCTGCTTCAATATATAACAATAATTACACCCAAGAAATAAAACACATGCAGTACAAATTAACACAGAGGCTGTAAGGGGTTTTATCCTCAAAATAAGTAAATAACGTGCACCCGAACCATATGTTTTGTTGTGCGGCTTTGTGTTTATCAGGGATTGTTGGTGTGTCAGAAGTCTGAACTTACCTTCCAGTGCACCAGCACTGAGGTAGTAGTTGTCGGCTTCACTGAGAGAATCACTGGAGGCTCATTAGGCACTGGAAAGAAAACACAGAGAGAGCGTGGAGAAGAAAAAGAAAAGTCAGACACACTGCCCATCCCCTTACATCATATAATGTTTTCAAATCCACGTAATGCACCGTCTTCCCACTTCTTTTCTCCCATACAGTGTCAGCATCCCAGTTTCTCACCGTCCTGCAAAGTGGTGGCAGCCTCCGTCTCTCTGCTGGGGACGCTGTCTCCTACGTCATTGGTGGCAACCATACGAAACTTGTAAGAAGTGAAGGGCTTCAGCCTTTAAATCCAAGTACACACATATAAGAATTATTTAAAAAAATGTATTTTGACCAGTTTTAGCAGGAAAAGCAAGCGATACGAGATTCAACATCTTTTCAAAGGGATGAGGTAATGCAAATCTCATTGCATTCCTCCAATCCCAACTCCAATAAAGCTGGGATGCCGTGTAAAAAGTAATCTGTAATTTAAAAAAAAAAGTTTTTAAATTTGGTGGCAGCAACAAAAAAGTTGGTACATGGCCATGTTTACCACTGTGTAGCATCTCCTCTTCATTTAACAACAGTCTGTAAATGTCTGGGAAGTGAGGAGACCAGCTGCTGGACATTTGGGAGACGAATGTTGTTGCATCCTTGTCTGATACAGGATTCTAGCTGCCCAGCAGTCCTGAGTCTTTTTGTGTTTTTCGTGCCAGGATGCTCCAAATGTTTGCAGTTGGTTAAAGGGCTTGAGTGCAGGTGAGCATGTTTAGCATCGTCTTGCAGAAACATGCATGGCTATCCCTAAAAAATATCTCTGGATATCTAGATATACCTTTCACTTTTCCAGACGTGCAAGTTGACAATTCCAAAGGAACTAAGGTACTTCCATATGATTTATTGCTCAGGACATCAGCCCCATGTTTACAAAATTTCTTTCAAATAATTAATAAATAAATTCATCCGGCCACAGAACAGTCTTCCCCGTTTTCTCAGTAATTTTAGATGAAAGTCTTTAGCCCAGACAGACAGCAGCATTTCTGGATCATGTTCACGTATAGTTTCTTATTTGTATGATAGAGCTTTAATTTGCAATTGTGAATGACAATTCATTATGAACTGTGTTCACAGACAATGATTTCTGGAAGTGTTCCCGAGCCCATGCAGTGATTTCCATGATAGCATCATTCCCATTTTTAATGCAGTGTTGCCTGAGGCCCTGAAGATCACAGGCATCCAGTAGTGATTTTGTGCCTTGTCCCTTGCACATAGATTTCTGTGTTTCAGTTTTCTGATTAACCTCTGCCCATCTTTCTCATTTCGGAGAAACTCCACCTCTCTAAAATGCTCATTTTTATACCCAATTATGTTACTGACCTGTTGCCAGTCAACCTAATTAGCTACAAAATGTTCCTCCAACTGTTTCTTTATAATTACTTACTTTTCTAGCCTTTTGTTGCCCCATGCCAACTTTTAAAATGTGTTGCTGTCATAAAATGAGATTTTTCACAAAATTGTAAAATGTTTAAAAATCCAATATGATTTCAATGTTCTTCCGTACCACAAAAATAAAATACGGATTTATGAGATTTTAGAAGCAATAGCTGCATTCTGTTTTTTATTTACATCTGACACAGTTACCTAACAGGTTTTTTTATATAAAACCACAGCAATGTACTCATTATTTTGCAGAAAAAGCAATTTTATAAAAACTCCTACAAAAAGCCTCTTGTGTAAAACTGTAAATAGACAACTGGACATGTCGGTACAAAGCTGAATGTGACATATCTCCGCGAAAAGCCTCCTCAGGAGGAGCCCTGCCTTATGTGCATTGATCAAATGTGGCCAGCGATAACTTCTGACATGTCTCGGTGGATGCACCGACTCTTAATCCAACTCTCATGCTTTTCTGTTTACTTGAAAGATGTACCATTGCTGAGCACTGTGCCTCAATAACTCCCCTTAGCAATAGGCTCGTGCTTTAATCTCTTATTGCTTTTTGTGACAGTGGCGAGGATGCTGCTGCTGATGGCAGGAAAGCTGGCCAGAGTACCAGCAGCTCTCCTGCTGAGAAGTGGCTCACTGGGAAATAAAGAAAAATATGAGAAGACTTGTAAAATGTGACTCCTTTCGGTGTCTGTTCGGGTACAAATGCTCTGCGATATTGTAATTTAATAGAATGCTAATTTGAAAGGCAGAGATGAATAACAATTGTCAAATTTTCCTCTGCACAGAAAGACAAAATGAAAAACAAATAAGATAAGTGGAAGGCAGAAGTGTTCTTGGCTTTTCAATATAATAACTAACTAAAAGTAATTCCACTACTCCCCACATGTCTACCTGCAAGGGTTTTCCCTCGACACAGGAGATTGCACAGGGCCAGTCTGAAATCCAGCAGGTGACAGGAAAACTGCTCCAGTCTCTTGTTGTATAATTATGAGCCTGGGCCCAATGATGGACAACTAAAGGCCCTGTGGGGCTGTGGTTATCATTGGAATAGAACATCAAAGGCACCAGGCTTAAACAGGGTGGGCTAACAGCACTGGGAGGACGTTAAGGACAATGTGTGAAAGTGTGTGTTTACTGTATATGTGTGTCTGCACATCAGCCTGGGGACTTCGATGTTTTGGTTCCCAAGATGTCTTGGTGGAAAACAACAATTAAGGATAGATAAGAAGTGAGTGTGAGCGTGAGCATGTGGAGATGTAAGCTAATTCCTCCATCCGGCGCTCTAATGAGAGCGTTCAGTGATAGAATGAGCTCGAAAACAACAACAGCAGCGACCGCCATCATGGCAGATAGACTCTCCCTGAGGCAGGTTGAAAAAGACTGACGCAGACACATGGAGCGAATGCTCTTCAGCATCTCAAATAGCCCTGTGATAGCTCGTGAAGGAGCACACAAAAACAGCCACGAAGCAGGCACGAACACACACACACACACAGACACCACACGCTGGTAAAGCACCATCATAGTCCTGCTACTCGGACCATCAGGAAGTTGGAGTAGCAATCCGGTCTGACTGCTCTCACCCGCTGCCATCACGAGGGAGTAGAGAACAGAGGGACTGAGAGAGGGGAATGTAAAAGGAAGACATGCAATAAGACTGAAGCCCTCTTGTACAGGATGAGTAGAAGAAAAAATACAAGCCTGATGGTTTTTGAAAGCATTGGCTGTTGATGGATGGAGGGAGAGGAGAGGAGGTGGTGACAGCAAGAGGGATGAAAAATTGTAAAGGAACAGAAGGGACAAAAAGCGCACGCAAACATGAAAGCTCGGAGGCAGAGCGAGTACGAGATGAAAAAATAGAGGTATTAAGAAAAAGACAGAGAGCAGCTCCTGCTGCGCCTGTGTGATTAGGTGACTGAGATCCTCCCCGTTTATGCAGTAATTATGATTACTCTGCTCTCCCTGGTGTTTTTGTTTGGTGGCATGTGTGTATGTTTATTCTCCACCAACCTTTTCTGTACTTCAGCTTCTAAACAAATAAAACTTTCCAGTCTCTATTATAATTCTCCGTTGTTTGCTTTAAATTCACAGCATCTTCTTCTCTCTGTCCACTCCTCTCCCCCGAGGATACATAAACATAAGATTTCTACAGATTGCTTTAATTAATTCAAGTTCAGCGTGTCATGCTAAAAACAATTTTGAATTTGGGGATCTCTAAGGAAGAAAAACTAACAAACAAAAGAGAGCCATCTATATTTTTTATTGCCATTTTCTCTAAGCCTGAGATAATCTTACTCACTCTTACTGATACTGCTGCTTTACTTTCAGTCTGACTGAAATAGCCCATGAAGGCATATTTTACTGGCTTATTAGATATATTCATTTTAATCCTTTTTTACACGTTACCCTGCTGTTTGTCCACCTCAGCCTGCTGGTACTGCAGTGTGCCACTCTCCTTATTGCTGGGTGGCTGTGAAAAATGACTCGACGGCACCTGTGACTATTCTGTTGTGACACATGGGTTTTGGTATCCCTCCAAAAAAAGAAGCTGTCTTAAACATGTCATTCCTGTCTTTGAGATCAATGTAATATTCAGCCACCAGCGTGATATTTTTTGTCGCCGCAGACTGTCACTTTCTCCGGATCAGTGACAAACACTGCAACTTGGCCAGTAGCCAGTCATGCTGACATTTGCAGTTGTGAGAGACTGTTAGAAAAATCACTTTTTCTTTTGAGTTTTTGGTGTGAAAAGTGTAATAAAAAAACAAAATATTGCACTTTAAACTGTCTATATATGAAGTGCCACAAATTCAAAGGGTGATGTATCAACCACTGCAGCTGTGCGTATGTGCATGTGTGCGTGTACCTGTCAACAGTCCAGGAGGTCATGTTATGCAGGATGTCAGCTGTGTGGGTTTTCCAGTCGCCGTTGGGCAGCTCCTTGATTTGCAGAGTAAAGTACCTCAGCGGCGAGGAGGCTGAGCCACCGGTCACCCAATGGATGCGGAGTTGGCGAGATTCAACCTCATCTTGAGGAACGGACAATTTCCTGGGTGGGAGGGGACGCTCTGTAGACACGGATAGGAGGTGTGAAGAGGCGAGATAATAACATGAGAGAGAAGGTGGAACAAGTGATGTGACAAAGATAAGAACAGTGGAACTGAAGAGGAGGCAGGCGCATGAAATAAACGAAGCTCCATGTGCAAAGGCTTCGAATATTTCCACAGCAGCAAGTCCAACGCTTTCTTAGGCCAGAACTCAGCTGGAGGGATGAACACAAGTTCTCCAAAAGAAAGAAGAGAGAGCACTTAAGAGCTCTGAAAACCACAGTCAGGATCCACATCTTAAAAGCAGTCAGTATGGCCGTGACATAAGTACACACACGCACACAAGAAGCCAGGTAAGTCAGAGAAATCGGGTTATGTAGGGCATCAGAAAATGTGATAAAAATAAAGAGTTGCCTGTCTTCTTCTTTTACAACCATGCCCTCAACTATTGTAACTGCAGAGAGTACTGTAAACATGCGCAAAGCTTTAATGTAAAGATCTTTTCTTTCATCTGCTCTGCTAAGACATGGATTTTGTCTTTGTCATGCTCATCTTTACAGTCACCATGAAATCAGTTTTCTGGGCAGACATCTAGCTGCAGGGAAATGTGGTTTCTTTGATCTTTTACCTTGATTACAGGGAACTAGTCTCTTGTATAAATGATGTTTAAGAAATAAGCCTGCTGCACACAGCAGGTCACTCAGACGCCTGGATATTTGCAGGACAAATGGAGATAAAAATGGACAATCTGCTGCAAATATTTCTGTTGCACAAGGCACGGGCAGCCCACATTTATGTAACATGTGCATCAGCGTGAAAAAGTGCTGCCATGCAAACACGTGTTTAAATGAAACAAGACAACTAACTACTGCGGCATCAAAGAAACCATTTCTCAACAGATTGCTTGTGTGTGTGCGCGTGCGTGCGTGTTTATCTGTGTCTTAGCTATTCAATTACAGGATGAAAGATGGCTCTGGGAGTCAGTGTCTTTGTACAACTGTGTTCACCGTACCTGTGCGATTAGCAGTACCTGTGCAGGCACACAAACAACAACACACGGCTGGGGGCAAAACTGTCTAATTTCAGGGGCTTCGGGTTATCGATTAAGTCTGGAAATAAAAGCATTATTGATTCTCTCTGAAGTTTAATTAATCTGCACTTATTTTCTCAAAACGCACACACAACCGCACACCCAGGCAGGCTCGGCTTCCTTCATTCATCCTTATCAAAAGTAATTTGATAATTTGATTTGATCTGTTTGTCTCCTTCTTCCCGCACTCCCCCTGCTCTGCGCTCCCTTCAAAATGTGACTATTCTCTGCCCTCTTTTGTCTTTCTGATACCATCTGTGTCTCCCTGTCTGTTCCCCTTTTGTTCTGCTCCACAGTTAAGATCATGTTCTGATAATAAACTCATAATTGCGAGAACAAGTTTGGCCCTTTCAGCACTTGCATATTATTTCTACACGAGGGAAGGAGAGGAAACACTGGGTTTTTAGTAGAGATGGAACGATACCACTTTTTTATGACCGATACCATCCATCCATTCGCTTCCGCTTATCCTTTTCAGGGTCGCGGGGGGCGCTGGAGCCTATCCCAACTGTCATAGGGCGAAAGGCGGGGTACACCCTGGACAGGTCGCCAGTCTGTCGCAGGGCCAACACACAGGGACAGACAACCATTCACACTCACATTCACACCTAGTGACAATTTGGATTAATCAATTAACCTATCCCCACAAGCTGCATGTCTTTGGACGGTGGGAGGAAGCCGGAGTACCCGGAGGGAACCCACGCAAACACGGGGAGAACATGCAAACTCCACACAGAAAGACCCCGGCCTGATGGAGGAATTGAACTCAGGACCTTCTTGCTGTGCGGCAACAGTGCTAACCACCGTGCCACCGTGCTGCCCGATACCGATATGAATTGAAATTGAATTGAAAGAATGCTTTATTGGCCATATGCAGGTTGCCTTGCAGAGGAATAGGACCCCCCAGACTTACACACACAACAAAGACATCACATGGGAATACAGTCGGAGATCGGCAGCGTTACAGAAAAAACAGATGATACCTTCCCAAAGGAAAAAGTACTATAGCTTACTAGGGTATATTAGATTTAATAGTTATAATATAATACAGTAATGGACTTCTATACATTTTATATCAGATTAAAACTTTGGGTGTAAGATTCAGATAATTATTTATTAAAAGCTAGACATTTTAAATGAGAATAAGAAAGAAAAGTATGTCTTTGTGCCCCCTTTTCCCTGTTAATGCCCTATCGGCCCCCCTGGCTAAACTTTGCTAGATCCGCCCCTGCACAGTTACCAGCCGTCAGCTACGTAGAAAAAGATCCTGGTGTAGAAAGTAATATTAAATAAATTCTAACAACAGCTTATCAAGGTTAAATGTGCTGCTGTTGTTCAGCCACTGGTTTCCTCTTTCTGGTGCAAAGTGGGCCAAAAACAAACAAGAGAAACTGGAGTCGCGACATAAAAGCCATCAGCTGATCATTAAGCAGTTTCATGATTGAAGTAGCAACAGGAGAGGGAGAGAGAGGCAGTTGCTCCATATATTGGTTGTTAAGCTTAACGTGGGAATGCTTTACAAACATTCAGAGATGAACTTACACACTTGCTTTACTTCCCTCTGGGATCACTTCCTCGGAGATGAAACGCTGGTTTGGTAGCGAGGCTACAAATATACACAGCCACTCTATCACGTGAGCACACTGCTCCAACGTGCAACGGTTATGAGCTGAGTTACGCCATGTCGCAAGTTTTGTGAGGTGCTTTTTTGATATTTAATGGATCGGATTACATTTTTTATTTCTCTCCGATAGCCGATCAAGTAATTTACGTCAGTATCAGACCGATACCGATACTTAATATCGGATCGGTCCATCTCTAGTTTTTAGTAGAGGAAAAAGGAAAGATGAAGGGGTTGAAGGTAGCTGAATATGCTATGTTCTCTGTTACCTTCTCAGCTCTCACGCTTTTGGGTACAAACATCAGCAACGATACATATTTCCAAAACGGTTTCTCCCTAAGGCATGCATCCACACACACGTTCACGTGCTCACCCAAAAAGCCAATTTTCTCTTTCTAGGGATTAAGTTGGTCTCTTCAATATCATCAGAAAGAAATCTCTATTAGGATATTCTGTCTATCTCACAGCAAGAATGGGGCATTATGCTACTGAAGTGGAACAGAGAACCACTGAACTCTATTCTCAAGAAATCCTGATAATGACGCTGCGGATGTTATGATATCTGATCCAATTAAAATGCATCACACAAACTGATGGCTGCGAACAGAGTATCTGACAAAATGATTCCAGGTTTCCACAAAATTCACTTAACTGTCATATTTTAATGCTTCTGTAGCATTTCACTGCTTACTCAGTGCTGCTATGCTGACAGAGAAAACAGCAGAGACAGAGAGAGAGAGATCAAGGATGACATATACCAAAGTCAGTGAGCTACGTCGCAACCAAAGCTATTCATGCGTTAGCCCACAGAGACACCAGAACCATTGCAACTTCATTTTTTAAGTGAAATATCACTTACTGTATTTCACTCCGGGAGAAAGCTCGTATTAGCTCTGGAGTGCTCGATCTTCAACACCATCTGCCACATCTTTCCTTCTCCATTTTCTTAATTACTGTACTGTGCAAAAGTCTCAAGCCCCCTCTCAGTTCTTTATACTTGGAAAAAGCAAAATAGATGCAATGATCTAATAAAAAACTGAGTTTGTGCAGTTTCAGTGAGCTTGAAAATAAATATTTGGTATGAGCACCTTTATTCTTCAACACAGTCTGAACTCTCCAAGACAAGCTTTCTTGTCATTTCTTTTCGTAGTCTTCAGGAATAGTTCTCCAGGCTTCTTGGAGGACATTCAAAGCTCTTCTTTGGATGTTTGGCTGCCGTTTATTCTTTTCTCTGTCATGATGATCTCACACTGCGTCAATAATGTTGAGGTCTGTGCTCTGGACCACAACTTCTGTTGTGTCTTTTTGTGTCATACTGAAAAAATGAAGGCAGTCAGATTCTTTCCGGACTGCATTACTTGGTGGATCAAAATCTGATGATACTTTTGTGTTGATAATTTCATAAATTTTGACAAGATCTTCAATACAACAGGCTGAAAACAGCCACAAACTATAATGCGCAAGCAGGAGGTTAAGCAAAAGGTACAACAGCGAATGTCTCCAGTCAAAACACATAAAACACGGTGGAGGCAATCGCTGTTGTACCTTTTGCTTAACCTCCTGCTTGCGCATCCATGAAGACCTGAATCAGAAATTTAAATTTCCCCATTTCCCCTCCTTCAGAATAGCTTATTGACCTCCACCTGTCCACTGACACTATATTTGATGACGCCTCAGTGAACAGTATATCTATTAACTGAGGACCGGTATGCATACGAAGGCGTTGCTTGATTTTTTCTGATTTCCTAAGGACGTGACTGTCAGATACTGTTCATCTGATGTAGACACTTTTTAGGCCTGCCACCTCTTCTATTGTTGTCCACTTTTTCAGTTATCTCCAGTTTGCACACCAAATGTGCAAGGTTTTTGAGTCTTTGTGAATCAACTTGTTGGTATGAAAATACTATTTTATGTTTGTCAAAGTGATTTATGTTTGGCTTTTTTGGTAGAATCAGCTAAAGGAAATGGAACAAATTACATATTTTAAGACAGCCTGCTGGTAACAAAGTCCTCAAAGACATAATTCAAAATGGGTTCTTTGCTAGGTCGTCTGTTCTTTGTAGGCACAACACTGGTTCATCCCTTGAGTTGGGTTCCTTTTTTTTATCCTTGAATGATTTACAAGTCAGTGTGGTGGCTTAACAAACAGAATAACATTGATTTGGAAATGGTCAGGTATAAGGACTAGTGTGAAAACGAGCAAGAAAGAGGCCAATGTCCAAAGAAAAACTTTAAACTTGGAGAACTGTTGCATAAACCCACTTTAGAAAATTACAACAAAATCTGACTCATTGAAAATAAATTATTAGTGAACGAGGGGTTGCTCAAAAGTCTTACACAGTACTGAAACTAATAACAATAGCCAGTCACAAATCCAAACGATATTCAAGTGTTTCTATGTTTTTACAAACCAATGTTTTAACCTTTAAAGATTTAAATTCATGGGTAAGTGAGAAAATAGATGTCTAAGAAAAATGGAAGGTACTAATGTTCAACATATTGAGTTAATGCAGGGTAGTGTTTACAGTTTAATTCAAAGAACTGATATAAAGGTTTACTGGTGACGAGGATTCCCACCACTTGGCTTGATGTACTGTATACTTGTGATGGGGTTGCATTTATTTTAGATTTATTGATGCTTATTCTTCAAATGAGTGAAGCAAAGTTCTTACCTTAAAGGTACTGACAAAAAAACCTAAGCTAATCTTAAGTTACATTAGTCAGACGTTTAGTCATTAGTATCACAGTATCATTTATTTTGAATATATATTTTAAATTATGTTGAAGAAATGTTGTGTTTTATGAATTTTTGATTAATTCAGTTTATAGAAAATCTACTCTGTGGTGATATATATAATTATTATGATGTGACCTACACCGGGATGTGACATTTTGGTCATATAACACAGCCCTAGTTTATATTATTGGTTCAGCTGTTTCCTTCCTTCCTAACGCTGATATAACACAGAGCCATCCATTCATTTCCACCCTCTGCAAGCTTCAGTGTGAAGTCTCTCAAAACTCCGTCATGGAGTGCAACATCAAGTACAAGTACCACCTTATTACCTAGTCCACGTGCAAATACATACCTACCACACTAGGCAGATTTTACTCATTGACGGTTAACATAAAACAGACTGGATTCTTTGGCAGCTGCAGCGTGAATGAGCTGAAGACATGAAAGTGAGAGAGTGAAGCAGCAACATGACGAGCATCACGGCACTCGAATAAGAGGAAGACAAGAACTTTATATTTGCTTCTAAATTGAAGGAAATAAAACTGCTCTTTACTTCTGTAAAAGTCAAATCACTTCAAAAGTGTGTTTTTTTTCTGGCCGTCAGTGACCAGATCATTGTGGGAAGATGTATCTCTTCTGTTTCAGTGTTTTAAAGACAAAACAGTGGGGGAGACCGAGTCCTTGCTAAACTCATACATCTCACCACAGGCACGGGCTGTCATACTCAGCGATTGACTGTGTTTCAATTTTACAATTCTTGTTGTTGTAGCAGCTTATGCTCTGTGATGAGGCCACTGGCTGCTAAAATTAGATAAAACTCTGAAAGGGAAATTAGCAGCTTTTTTTTCATCTCTTAAAGTCAAAATTAACATAAGTGCAAAGTGCTGGTAAAAACTCTTGATCAATAGTAATTACTTTGGGTGAGGATGTAAGATTTATGGCGTTTGGTTCTGACTTTCTGGCCCTCCTTTCGCTCTCCTTTAGAAAAACGACTTCGAGCCTCATTTTCATTCTCACCTACTAAGTGTACAGTTTCCATCCGCCCACAACTGAGCACGGTGCTGTGGATGAGAAATATCCCAGCGTTGCAATCGACAGTTGGTGAGAAAGGCTAATAATCCTGTCTCATTCAACAAGCCAGTTAATTTTGGCGTGTTCAGAGAAAGGTATAAACAGACGGAGTGCCACAAATTTCTTCGGATAATCTACAATTCTGAAAAAGTAACACTTCCCTTTTTAAGTGACAACAGTTACAGTCAGGCCCAGAGGAAATGTTATGAACTCTTGATTTTCATTATACCTCTACAGGAGGGCTAATACCTGGTGGCTTCAATGCCTACATTTACTGACAAGTCCAGGGGAGTTTCTAAATGTCATTTCTTTTTGTTCTATGTCACACACCCTGAAAAGGTCATGCTTTTTATTTTGTGCTAATATTTAGTGCCCGGTAACAATGAATTCGCCATGTCCAACCACAAACTGCTTAGGGCCAAACTTTCCGCTTTCTTTTCTTGTGTCTGAACTCCCTTTCTGAGGAGCAAACATGAACTGCAATGAATTGCACCTTTAATAGCAAGTGATGCTGCAGAGATCACAAAATATGAAAATTCCACACTGCTCCTGCATAACGATTACTGTAAGAAATCTGACAACATAATTATACTGGTAAAATCATTATGGTTGTCCTCTATAATAGAGCTTTCTCACAGCAAACATTTAGAAAATTGCAGTTAAAATTAATAACATTAATCAAGCTGCTCGTGCTTACAACTTTTCCCTGTTTATTCTGGTTTATTTAAGACATTTTATTCCCTTATGCATCACTACAGGTCAATATGAACTGTATTAGAGATTATTACTTTGCTGTGCAATGAATTCCAAATTAGATGCATGATGCATGTATGGAGAGTCTGCAAGACAGAAGCTATTTTAACCGAAAAGCTTACACCCCTTTACTCTTGCCGAAACTCTCCATATATTACTTCACAGAGGAATGATTTTGCAAAGAAGCAAAATGAACAAAGTTGTTATACGGCTCCATTAGTTCTTCTTCAGAATCAGATCACACTGTTCGTGGTGCCAGAGAACACCGAGTAGAGATCTTCACAGCTTACTGTAATTTCGACTTCGTTCTCAAGCTCCAAGCCGCACCATCGGTGACCCCATCAGTCGCATAGTGTTTGCTCGAACATAGCAAAAGATGTGTCCCTGTAGGTCCTTTTCATGCGGTCATTTTGACTCAGCATAAAGAAAAGCAGAGGCACTCGGGAGCTAATAGCATTCATGATGACTCTGTTCCATTAAAGAGTAAGCCCATCAGTGAGCCTGTCTGCCAAGCCCTGAAACTGTCACACACGGGGAATGGTGCCATCATTAAAGAGTATTCTAAGACCAACCTCAACAGCTCTGGATAAAAATTTCAAACTAGCTGCACCAGCCTTCCTGCTGGGTGCAGCTGGTTTAAGTGTTAAATCACCGAGGGTCAGAAGAGACCAGATTTTCGATGGGTTGTTAAGTTTCTCCGTGTTTTTTTTCACACAAACTCAGGTCTTCCATTCTTACCGAGCAGAAGCAGTTTTGTAAGGTGTCATGGAGACAGATCAGCTATCATTACTGATACTGATGGCACCTGTAGCTGCTCTGACATCTCGGAGTATTTGGACTAAAAGAGGCCTGTCGGAAGTCTGCTTTAAAGTCATGAACTACATTTCTGGGAGCAGTGTCAGACACAGGTCATTAAGTCCACAGTGGAGACGGACAGTTTTTGTGCGTCTGCAAGTGATATATGTGAGCCAGCAGGTTGGACTCCTGCTATATTTTAAACAGGAGTGGTTAAAATTAGAGCAGTCAGATCCTGAATATGCGTGAGTGTCCTTTACCTCTGCGTTCAGTGGTAACAACCACAGCTTCCTGTCCTGCACCCCAGCCCACGGCAGTGCGAGCAATGAGTCGGAAAACGTAGCTCTGCTCAGAGGAAAGTCCTGTGACGGTGAACTGCCGAGCATTGGACCCCACCTCCACTGTAGTCCAGCGCAGAGGGTCCCTGCTGTCGAGGCGGTAGGAGATCTGGTAGCCTAGTGAGGGGCAGAAGGAAAGACAGAAGGAGGAGGAAGCTATTTGAAATCTGTGTGAAATTCTTGCGAGTGATTGTGTTCACAGAGCCCACAGGAATCAAAGAGAGCACAATATGAGGCGAAACCCCCCCTGCAAACATAGCTGCACAAAGCCATATCACGCAGCTTCATTTCCACAATAAAACATACAAACAAATATGTTTTTCTTCAGGTCATGAAACTACATTTGAACTCTGTTGGGATTTGATATGTGCAGCTTCTTTCCTTCATACTTACTATTTTCCAAAGACAAAGCCAGGATTTCAGAGCAGAACTCCAGTACACACTCACACATGCTCACGTTCCCCTACTCTCACAGTGTATAAACATATAACCTCTCTGTGTGTACCCTTGGCTGTGACCCATGGTGTACACGGCTCCAGTCTGTTTCTCTGTCTTATGTGCAGTAGGCCATGTAATAACACTAACATCCTTCAACACATGCACGCACGCTCAAACCACTGATCCCTGTCCAAGCTTTCCACAGGCCACTGGCCACTCACAAAGGCTCTTATTATGAAGATTGTATTGTACAGCAAATACACACTAGAAACACACAAGTGTGTGGATGTGATTAGTTCACAGTAAGACTGTCAGGATAATAATCTGCTCAGAGGCACCTAATCTGGTTGTGCGGGTGATAATCTCATCAGATAGTCTGATTAAATGTTAATGTGAATGCTGCACGTGGGAGATTACTGGATAACAGCTAGATCACAAATCCTCCTGCATCGAAACAATTGGGTCATAGCACAGCATTATGTTCTGTACCATCATTAAGCCATTGCTGCTGTCACATACTGGAGGCTAAATCTCTGTTACATTAAGTGATTGCATCACGTTAGAGAAAGCCCTTAGTCCTTTTTTCCATAAGATATAAAATGTATGATGCACTATATTTCATTATGGTTTGCATGAGCAGACTAGCAGACTGTGCATCTAATGTATACCAATTTTTTTTTCTTTGCCTTTAGGGTTTTGAAAAGACTGGAGAGACAGACACCCATGGTATAACACAAGCAGACTGTTTGAAGAGCAGAGCCACAAATGGAGAAAGTGTCACCAGAAGGACACCAGTAAGAGCTGAGAGAGGTTAATTTGATTTAGAAATGCTAAAGGGGATACATGCATATTAAATAAATGATCAGTATGAAGTGAATGATTGACCTTTTGTCTGTAATAGAGTGAAGTGATTGCGTGCAGATTGTTTCTGAATTCGCGTCACTCCAGAATCAGTGTAATGTATATTCCACTGGCTTTTTTTATTTTGTGACTTCACACTCATTTTAGAAAGGGTGATCAACAGTCGACACCAGAGATAAAGGTGTCTATCAAGTCTATGCTGGAAGTGTCCAGATGACTAGTGTTCAGATATTATTGTTCCCTATGTTATTTCTGTCAGAGCATCAAACGCCCTTCTGAACAGTTTTTTTATCCATCTCTGACCAATTACACATCTGCTTCATTTTGCAAAGGCTACCAAAAGAAGGAAATACAATTGTTAGCATCTACAAGAGAAAATCACTTGATAAAAAGACTATAAAGGACTATGATGCTCTATGGTCCTTGTTGGGGAAACATCACAACACATAGTTGTTTACATTATCGTAAGATATGTGGTCTATGATGTCCGGTTCCACCTCAGCCAGGGGTTAAGGGACTGGATCACAATGCATCACGGTAGACGTTCACGCTTTGGTTCAGTGTTGTTCACTGACTGACCAAAAGATCAAGACATGTTTAAACACGGTCAGCGTCTCACTTCTCATCTCATAAACTTTCGTACACCATAGTATTTTAAGCATAGTAGAGATATACAGATTGTTTTCCTTTAGGACCCGTTGAGGGTCTTAAATGAAAAAATAATTTTTTCAGCTTCCTAGTTTTTTTTAAATTTTATTTAGCTTGGATCTATGACTGAAAGCTGAACAGAGAGAGTACCTAATAAGTTAAAATGAGGGTTTTGCAGACCGTCTCAGTTAATCTGTTGTTTAGAGCTGCATTTATACTTCTTTACATTATGTTTCATGACCCTTAAAGAAGTGCTAAATGGCAAAATTATGGATGCATTAATTAAAGTTAGAGGGAATATTGATGCCTTGATTTGCTTAACTAATTAACTTCTGCATTTTTATTGCTACTGTTCTAATTTGTGATATTCTCATAATGTTTTCTTTCTCGTGCAAAGAAAATAATCATCCATCCATCGCTGATTAAATTGCCACACTAATAAAGAGCTGGTAAAGCTTTTGCTTTTGGAGTTATGTGTTTAAAGGATCATTTCACACTAACTAATCTACAAGCCAGCACAGCTAATATAAGAGATTTTTAAAATTCAGACTGAATTTGGGCAGCAGGTAGTGATGCAATGCATGCAATGATGAGCATTTTAGAGGAAATCTTTAAATGTGTGCCTTTGTAAACTTTACAAAGAGACACACTGAAATGCAAACCAATGGGAGAATATTTTTTAGTATGCATTTTAGTACTCAGCATGTAAGTATTTGCAGTACAATTTCCACACATTTGAGAAAAATGTGTCCTCTATTTTATTACTTCAGTGTGTATGTGTGGCTGTATTATATTCATAGAAGGGTGAAAGAACAAAAATGCCTCACTGCACTGTGCCAAATTAGATTGTGCACCTTCTGTAGTCTTGTTTCTCCTCTGTCCACCTTCTGTGTCAGTCCCCCATGGGTGGAGAACCCAAGGAGAAATGAGGGAGTCATGAGGACTAAAGAAACCAGTACTCTACAGACCTTTGTATCTGCATAAACACACACAACACATGCTCAGCAAGGACACAGTAGGGCTGTATGTTTGTGTGTGTGCCTGTGTGATCGAGAGAGTGAGATTTGCCCTCCCACTCATCCTTCTGCTACAGAGTGGTGTCGCACTAAATGTCCTCCCGCTAACAATACAGTCACACATCACTCAAACTGTCCTGTTCAACTCGCTCTCCCACTGAGAGGACAAATACCACTCCTCACCCAGTTACTGCGTACACGCGCACACACACACACACACACACACACACACACACACACACACACACACACACACACACACACACACACACACACCTGTCCCTCCTATCACCTCTATACATCTACTGTCTGCTGTCTCTCCCCTTCTGTTCTCTCTCTTTCCAGCTCAGCAGCTCACACATTTCTTTCACCTCTCCTCCTCTCCTGGAGAATTTTTCCGATTCACACCGCACGGTGATAATGCATGAATCTGCACATTTATTTATAAATATATATAGATGGTCATATTTATTAGGAAAGGTGCCTTAAGCACCTACAGCTGTCTTTTTTCAGGTACAGACACATATACAGAGACAGCGGGAATCTTTTCCATTTTACAGTTTGTACTTGTCACAGTAGATGTGTGTGTGTGTGTGTGTGTGTGTGTGTGTGTGTGTGTGTGTGTGTG